CTTTCAGCCAAGATCCATCTGATGTCAGCAATGATATCCCTTGTTTCACATCCTCTTCTGAATCTGGTTTGAACCTCTGGCAGTTCCCTGTCAGTGTACTCTTGCATACATTATTAATGATACTGTCTGATGATTTCCTCATTCTGCTGGGTCACCTCTCTTTGAAATGAGCCCAAATATGGATCTCTCCTAGTCAGTTGGCCAGGTAGCTGTCTTCCAAATTTCTTAGCATAGATGAGTGAGTGCCTCTAGTGCGTCATCAGTTTGTTTAAATACTTCAATTTGTAATCCATCAATTTCTGGAGCCTTATCTTTTGTCAATTCCTTCAGTGCACCTTGGACTTCCTCTTCATTGGTTCTTGAGCATATGCTATCTCTTGAAATGGTTGAACATTGACCATTTCTTTTTGGTACAATAACTGTATATTCCTTCCATCTTCCTTTGATCCTTTCTGTATCATTCACTATTTTGCCCATAGAATCCTTCTATATTGCAGTTGAAGCTTGAATTTTTTCTTCAGTGTGTTCTTCCTGTTAGGTTTTCTAATATTTGACTTTGTCTTCTCGAGTTGCCCTTTGACACTTTCTGTTCACCTCTTTTACCTCCTCATTTGCTTTAGCATCTCTGTGCTGGAGAGCAAGTTTCAGAGTCTATTTGACATCCATTTTGGTCTTTTCCTTCTTTCTTGTCTCTTAATGACCTTTGCTTTCTTCCAGTATGATGTTCTTGATGTCATCCCACAGCTCTTCTGGTTTTTTGGTCATTATTGTATAATTCATCAAATCTGTACTTGAGATGATCTTTAAATTCAGATGGAATGTTGTTGTTGTTAGGTGCCATCAAGTTGGTACCAACCCATAGCGACCTTATGCACAGCAGAACAAAACACTGCCCAATCCTGGGCCAGCCTCACTACTGTTGCCACGCTTGAGTCCATCGATGCTGCCACTGTGCTAATCCATCTCATTTGGGGTCTTCCTCTTTTTCTCTGACCCTCCACCTTACCAAACATGATATCCTTCTTCAGTGACTGGTCCTTCCTGACAATATGTCCAAAGTATGAGAGACGAAGTTTGGCCATCATTGCCTCCAGGGAGCACTCTGGCTGCACTTCTTCCAAAACAGATCTATTGTTTTTTTTGGCAGCCCATGGCACTTTTAATATTCTCTTCCAACATCATAACTCAAAAGCATCAATTCTTCTACAGTCTTCCTTATTCACTGTCCATCTTTCGCATATATATGAGGTTATTGAAAATATGGCTTGGGTCAGGTGCGCCTTAGTCCTCAAGCTGACATCTTTGCTCTTCAACACTTTAAAATGGTCTTGTGCAGCAGATTTGCCTAATGCAGTATGTCATTTGATTTCTTGACTGCTGCTTCCATGAGTGTTGATAGTTGATCCAAAAAGAATAAAGTCCTTGACAACTTCAGTCTTTTCTCTGTTGATAAGAATGTTGTTTATTGGTCCAGTGGTGAGGATTTTTGTTTATTTTACATTGAGATGTAATCCATACGGAAGGCTGTGCTCTTTGATCTTCATCAGTAAATGTTTTAAGTCCTCTTTACTTGCAGCAAGCAAGGTTGTATCGCCTGCATATTCAAGATCATATTTGGGTCTTGTGGACTTTTTAAAATTTTCTTCAGCTTTAGCTTAAACTTGCATATGAACAATTGATGGTCTGTTCCACAGTCTGCCCTTGGTATTGTTTTGGCTAATGATATAGAGTGTTTCCACCATCTTGTGCCATAGATGTAGTCCATTTGATTTCTGTGTATCCCATCTGGTGAGGTCTATGATACACATGTATCGTCATCTCTTAAGTTGTCTAAAAAAGGTATTTGCAATGAAGAAGTCATTGATCTTGTAAAATTCTTATCATGACCTCCAGCATGGTTTCTATCACCAAGGCCATATTTTCCAACTACTGGTCGGTCTTCTTTGTTTTCAACTTTTGCATTCCAATTGCCAGTAATTATCGATACATTGCCTGTTTGATTAATTTCATACTGAAGAAGCTGGTTGGTTAAAGTGCTCAACTGCTAACCAGAAGGTTGGTAGTTCAAACCCACAAGCTGCTTTGCAGAAGAAAGATGTAGTAGTTTGTTCATGTTAAGATTTGCAGCCCTGGATACCAGATGGGTAGTTGTACTGTATCCAAAAGGATCACTGTGAGTCAGAACCCGCTTGATGGCCATGGGTTTGGGGCTGTTTGCCCACAGAACTTTTATACATTAATGAAGAGTTTGAGTTGAGAAAATATTTTTAATATCTAAAATTAAAAATTAACTATAGAGTTTTAAAATATGTGACTATATATGTTAGCTTATTCTAGCAACAAAATTTTTGGTGTAAGTCAGTGGTTTAATAATGTTGACCATTTATTTATTCATGGTGGTTCCATACAAACAAACAAACAAACAAAATCTCATGTTTATTTCTTGGCACCCATTATTTTACATGAGGGATTCACCTGTATTCATCAAAATACATTTCCTCTAACAAAGATGAACAATAGAATGAAGCACTGCCCAGTCCTGTGCCATTCACAGTTGTTATATTTGAGATAGTTGTTGTTGCGGCCACTGTGTCAGAACATCTCATTGGGGGTCTTCCTCTTTTTCACTGACCCTCCACTTTTCCAAGCATGCGGTCCTTCTCCAGGGACTGGCCCCTCCTGACGACATGTCCACAGAACTAGAGACAGTCTCGCCATCCTTGCTTCAAAGGAGCCACTCTGGTTGTAGTTCTTCCAGGACAGATTTTTGTGTTCTTATATGTCCATTGGACTTTCAGTATTCTTCCTTATTCATTGTCCAGCTTTCAAATGCGTAGGAAGCAGTTGAAAATGCCATGTCTCAGGTCAGGCACACCATAGTCTTGAAAGTGACATCTTTGCTCTGTAACACTTTAAAGAGATCTTATGCAGCAGATTTGCCCAATGCAATATGTGGTTTGATTTCCAAATTACCTTCTCATCATTTATTGCGTTTGTAAAGTTATTTGGTTGACAATACAATACTGTTCTGCAGTAATTCTTTCCTGTTGTATTGTTGTTTGTTGTCAGGTTGATTCTGAATCATTGTGACTGTAGGAAAGAGTAGCACTCCCATAGGGTTTCCTAGGCTGCAGTCTTTAAGGAAGCAGAGTGCCAAATCTTTTCTCCTGCAGAGCCACTGGTGGATTTGAACTGCCAGCTTGGTTTGGTTAGTTGGTCTTGTGAGTGGCACTTGCCGTACTAGGGTCTTACAATCTTTTCCTAGCCTTCACAATATAAATCTGAAGGAATTACAGCCTTTCAAGTTTTGGTGGGGGTTTTTTGTTTTTGTTAGAGTGTTTTGTATTACATACCAGTATAAAGGTCCTAGGGAGAGAGATTTCCATTGGTTATTTTAAGCCTAGTGAAATTAAGCAAAAATAATAAAAACTAATATTCATAAGAATATATATATTCTCTAGTTAATGATTCCAAGAACTTTTAGAAAATTAGGTTAAATATGGACTTTAGCCACAGGCAGATAATTTTTAGAAAGTGTGAAAATCCTGAATTCATTGTATTGGTTTTAAAGAGTAGTGGTTCTTACCAGCTTCCGTATTATTCCCTTCCTCAGCTTATAAAGGAGTCCCGATGGTGTCTGTTTAAAAGTGTTTGGCTGCTAACCAAAATGTCAGCCTTGAAAACCACCTTATGGGGGCAGTTCTACTCTGTCCTATAGGGCCCCTATGAATTAGAATCAACTCAGTGGCAATGGGTTGGTTTGGGTTCCCTTTATAAAATATACTGAAAAGCTGCTCTAACTACATGCTTTGTAGATGCGAAAAAGAAAAGAGATTTGAAGTAAAGTTTAAATTCATTCAAGCAAAACCAGACTTTTGCTTTGGAAGAGTACCTGGAATCATGTCTCAGGCCACATTTAGGGAAAAAAAAAATAAAGGAGAAATTAGCTATTGAGTTGATTTAAAATACAGTAATGATGAGGGATGGTCCCTGGGTGGCAGAAATGGTTTGCTCTCATCTACTAACCTGAAGAATGGCAGGTCACATCCACCCAGGAGTGCCCCAGAAGAAAGACCTGGTCATCTGTTTCCATAAAAAGTTCAGCAAGAAAACCCTCTAGAACCCATGCAGTCACCATGAGTCAGAGTCATCTCAACAATGTGAGTTTTCAAATGCTGCGGGAAGAGAGTAGGACGGGCAGGCAGAGTGGTACATTCACAGAGGACTGCAGATTTAGACTTGGACATTCTCTCCAAATGCAGTTACATGAGGCAGTCAAAGAGCTGCAGAAGCAGGCTTGAAAGAAAATGGTGTTTATTGTAAAACTGGAAACGTGTTCCATTATTAGACTGTTTTACCTGTTGTGTACAATAAATATTTTTAAATGTCCCAGTCATAGCTTTGTGGATAGCAGAGTTACATTATATTGTATGTATATATGTGAAGTGTTAATTTGTTAAATTTAAGCCTTTACATTATGTCAGTCTTTCCTCCGTGTAAGTTTCTTCATTTTAAAAGTAGGGTAAGAGTGGGTGACTAGGAAAGTGCCTCTACCCCTCTTAACCTCTGAGAGACCCTGAGCCTGCACGTGTGCTGTGTAATAAGGCATGACCATGTTATTATGTCTCTCTCTAAGGACAGTGCGTCCTGGATGCTCCATTCTGAACTCCTCACCGAGGCTTGAAGTGGGCTTGTTCAGCTCTGTATCCTCAATATGTATCACAGTGCTGAGCAGGTAGTGGTTGCTTAGATTTTTTTTCATGTCCAAATTTAATCCATTCTTTTCCCTATTTCTTTAGTTTTTGAAATGTTTAATAGAGGAATGCTTAAAGAATAAAACACAGAAAGTTTGGGTACTGAATTAAAAAAAAATCTATGTGGGAAATTTATCTTCACTATGTTAGAGAGCCAAATATTTTTTATTAACATTTATTTCATTTAATATGAATATTTTCTTTATGTCCAACATAATTATCTGAAACCTTTTATGATCTCTACAGCTGCAGTGAGAAGAGGAATTGGTTATTTTTAAACAAAGGCTGAATAATCTATAGAATTAACAGACATAAGAGAAAGTGGAGAAGGTAGAGGATGGAGTTGCAGACTCTACAGGAGGCTCTTAAAGTGGAAATTCAAGTTCATCAGGTATGTTGTATTGTTACCTTCTCCCACATTGGGTCATTAAGTAATGACTAAAATTACTAAACAGGTTAGTCACTGATTTTTACCTCCAGTTTTAGTAGGCTGTCAGACAGTTGTCCAAGACTCATGTCATTTTCTTTTTTTTCGTTAGTCAACAAATTTGTTGATAATATATACTTACTTACTACGTTTCAAAACTTTAATAAAATATTACCGACCTTGCCTTTCCTGAGAAAAGAACTGATCTTTTTCTTTTAATATTACAAAGAAGTTAAAAGAATCTACCTCTGTTTTTTTCTATGCCTTTTTGTTCATCTGAGGGACATAGTTCTTGTGAATTAACTTGAATATTTCAAATAAATATGCAGTTGGTTGGTTGGTCGGTCGGTTATGTGCCGTGCCGTGGAGTCGGTTCCGACTCATAGCGACCTAGACTTCCATATGTACTGAAGTTTGTACTCATCATATGGCTCAATTTTATACCTTCTAATTCCAATCCTTAATAAAGAAAACATGAGGGGCTTCAAAAAGTTCATGGAGTTACGGAATTAAAAGGTAATGGAATCCACCCATAACTGATTCCAGATATAGGAATATTTAAAGTAAAACAAGCCTACAAGACTAAAAATAGGGAACCAGAGATAGCAATGTATAATGAAGTCAACTACAAAGCAAAAAGAGGGAATGGTGTAGATATAGAACTTTCAGATGACAAGGAAGTCAAGTAGATTTCAAGATAAAACAGGTTGTTTTAAGTATGTAAAAAGATAATAAATTACAGAATAACCTCAAAGAAAAATAACAAACCTGTACATCAATTAAAAAAAAAAAGGGATAATCAGAAAGATTCAGTAATCATTAACACAACAGAAATGGAAAGAAAACCCACAACAAAATGAACTCAGCATAGAAAATTATGTGGAACAAAGAATTCAGCACCACCATCACCATCACCACACACACACACAAAAACAAAACAGAACAATAACAACAATCAATTCATACTTATTGATAATGTCACTGAACGTAAATTAATGAATTAATTAAATGTATTAGTCAAGAGACTTAGAGACCAGAATGGACAATAAAACAGGATCCTTCAATATGCTGTCTACAAGACACATAGCAAAAAGATGGAGACAGCTTAAATGTCCATCAACAGAAGAATGGGTAAATAAACTTTGGTACATACACACAATGGAATATTATAAAATGTTGAAGAATAATGATGAATTTGTGAAACACCTCAAAATATGGTTGAACCTGGAGGACATTATGCTGAGTGAAATTAGTCAATCAAATATTGTATGAGACTAATGTTGTAAAAACATTTTAAAAAATTAAAAAAAAGGTACCCTTGATAAAAGAAACAATCTATGATGATTATGGGGGACAGAGGGGAGGAAAATTATTCATAGGCTAAAGGGTAGACACATGTTGACGTGGTGACAGGGCAGGCATATACAATAAGAGGGAGGTTAGCAGAGGAAAGATGAAGGAATGAGGAGACACGGAGGAATGTAATAGTTAAAGTGAATAGAGGGAAATACTGTTAACTGGTGGTACATGGAGGGATTGTAACCATGTTATGAAGCAAAGTATATGATTTATTAAATATAGAACTGATAATCTGCTCTGTAAACTTTTCACTCAATTCACAATAAAAAGTTAAAAAAAAAAAAAAGATAATGGAATTTTTTACAGACTTTTTGAAGCCCTCATGTAAGATTGTTTCATAGGCTTTCTATTTCACAAGTCTTATATTTTTAACTTAGTTACCAAGGCTAAATAAACCTTAAAAAATACACACACACATTCAATATACAAACTATTCTTAAATAACTAAATACTTAGCATTTATTATGTAAACCACATTTTCTGTTTTATGTCTGGAGTTCTGGTGTGGCACTGTGGGATAAGTACCGACTGGACTGTTAACTAACTGCAACATCAGCAGTTCAAACCTACCAGCCAATCCTCATTGTCTATGAGTGGGAACCGACTGCACTTAACCAAACAGCAACGGACAAGAAGCCTGTTTTCTAGACATTAGCTGTGGTTTTACCATATGGTCCTAGACTAAGTATATAGACACACACAGACAGATTGGTAGTCAAAAGGGATAAATTAATGATGAACGGACTACTTCAGAATGTTTAAAATTCGAGGTATGGAAACTCTTATGAAGATGTTATGAAGTGTAAGATTAATTTCAGAAATTGTTGCAACAGTATCTTGGGACTTTTGATAAATATTAGATTTTCGAGTTGCCCAGAATTAGAGTGGAGGCAGACTTCATGGAAAACTTCAAAGTAACTTATATTTTTAAAAAATACTAGGTCTTTAAAGATGATTTTCAGAATTATTTCTAAATATGGTATTGAAATATTATAAATGCCAGAAATTTTACTTTTTGGAAGATGCTTAATAGTTATGTAGTGTACTGTTTTATTATGAAGATACAAATGATTGAGTAAAGCAACAGCTTCTTAATTTGCCTGCTTTTTTGTTCTATGATATAAGTCTTCGTTCCTATTCAAAATTCCTGCTACTGATTTGACTGTTGTTAAACTTTCTCAGTACTTTTGTACAGATGGGCTTCTTTATGTAAAATGTTTTGTTATTATAGTAACTTCAAAAAGCTTATGAATGTCTGGTTTACAGACAGCTCACAATGTGTATTTTCCCTTTGTTGTTGTTGTTAGGTGCCATCGAGTCAACTCCAACCCATAGTGACCCTGTGCACAACAGAATGAAACAATGCTCAGTCCTGTTATGTAAATTTGCCCTCACTTTGAAATGATTGACCCAACTCCAGCTTGTAAATTCTTCATCATAATCATCTTCACTTGCTACACATGCAGCTTTTAAATAGTTGGAAAGGCACTCCAGCCTTCATTTGTGCTAAAGGGAGTTAAATAGGAACCATATGCACCTGGTCCGACTTGCCTACAAATTCTTTAAGACACAGTTAGGACTGGATCTCGTTCTTAACTCAAGGACTACTTGTATATAATAAGTTATGTACATTTTATTTATTTGGCATTGCTTCTGGTACTAATTGAAGAAAGTAAGATCGCTTTATAATAATAAGCCTATATATTTTCCTGGATGAAAGTATTTTGGCATAGAGGTGTGTTGAATACCCAGTTTGATTGAATGGCAAATGGTTGAGTATTAAATTTACTGTTCGTACAAATCTGTACATCAACTGGTGGAACAATTTCTGGGGTACAATAATCATTCTGAAATTTGTGTGGATCAGAGATGATTTAATGGATGTTGAATTTTATTTTTGGAGTTTTTCCTCCTTTCACTAAATTTTGAGGTGGCAAAGATGCCATTCCGTGTTCAGTTTATCCTCAGCAGTAAACAAATCTCACGTAAGGCTTTGTTGGAAGCCTGATGGCCTAAAAAGTATGTTGTGAAACTACCTGGCCTTGCTGTGATTGACATATAGTTTTGATCTTTATGTTTTGTTTTGATTTTTTTAATGGTAAGGGTTATGGTTGAGAAAGTGGCAATGGTTGGTGTTTAATAGATGCTTAAATAATAGTGGCGTGTGTTGCACATTCTACTTTTGAGGAATTCATCTTTTTTCTCCCATCTTTGATTATTCTTATGGGAATTTGATAGATGCCATAATTAATCTTTCAGAGGCTGGTAAAATTTTTCTTAGACCAGATAATAAGATGTTAGGTTTTGGGGGTCATTTATAGTCTCTATCACAACAAGTTGGCTCTGCTGTAAAGACAAAGCAAAACATAGATAATATGTGAGTGTGCTATATTCCAGTAAAACTTTATTTACAAAAGCAGATGGCAGACTGGATTTGGCCTATGGACACTATCTTGCTGACCCTTGGTATAAAGTATATCTACATGAAAAATTGCTACATCTTTGCTATGGAAAGTAACAACTTTGATAACACAGTGTCAACTTAAAGTCACTGGGGGTTTGGGTTGTCTAATAAGTTTCCAAGCTTGTCTTATACTACCACTGATTGTCTAAAATGCATTGTGATTTCATATGGATGAAGAAGTTAGTTTATCTATTCCTGAGGAGGAGAATTTAGCATGATTACCAATTCACTTTTATATTCCACTGAAGAAGACCCTTTTCAACTTTAAAAAGGTAACTTTAGGATCGTACCCAACTCTCTGGTAATCAAGTCAGAAAGGAAAACCAAGGTTTTGTTTTTTTTAAATACATTTATATTTCAATTCCATTGAACTCTTGAAATGTGTATATTTTGTAGATTATAAAGCCAGAATTTAGAAGCGCCACCACTGTCAAATATGAAGTAGAATATTGTCACCACAACTCATGTATTTGGAGATCACATAGCAGCAACCTTAACAATCTAGAATGCATCTCAGCATCGGGAAGGAAAATTTTTGCCCAGTCAGAATGAATGTCATAAGTCATTCACTAAAGATTACATATTTTACTCAGGGGGATTTCTTAGACTGTTACTCACAGCCTATTCACACATCTTGGAATTAGTCCACTAAGTGTATCACACAGCAGAACAGAAGCAGCAAATTTGAGTTGGGGTTCAAGGACTGTTGAGGGAAGCACAGTAGTAGCAGCACAATGTGTTTAGCTGATTGCTTGGCAGTAGACTGAAAAACTAAGATGCACACAAAAGAACTTTCTTGTAACAGTAGTTTGAGGCTTTTATATCATAAAGACCTTTCTATATGTTAATAGATTATACTAATTGATGGTAATAATGTCTCTAAGTATATCCCTAGTTGTTGTTGTTAAGTGCCATTGAGTCAGTTCCAACAGAACATCCCTCCTCCCCCTTTTTTTTTTCTTTTTAAGAAGACAGATGTGTATATTTTTAAAGTACTTTGTTACCCAAAGGGAGTGACAGATTTTTTAGTTTTCATGAAAAATTCACTTGGGAACAGCTAATTTCCATATATCTATAGGAATTAGCCTCCTGAGATTTTTTTTGTATCCTTAGATTTTTTCTTACCATGGTTGTTAACTGTTTGGACAGCAATGGTTTCAGAGTTTGGTCTAAATCAAACTGTATTTCTCTTTTGTTTTTCGTTGGTGTGGGTTTCTGCTCTGCCTTGTAAAGACACATCTCATTTGGTATTAGGTAGCATTCTCCTCAGAGGAACCCAGGTAGGCAGAGTTTCCATTGTGGTTCCTCTATTTCTTACTCTGAAATCCTGAGATTTGAGAGTGCACCTCGGAGTGCATCCTCCCTCTCTAGAGGAGACAGTGGTAAAGTAAAATCTGACACTAGGCTCCTGGAAAGGACCAAACACACTTGCCAAATCTGTACTTTGCTGTACACAAACAGGCCGTTTGTATGTGAACAGCTTCTTTCCTAGCCTTGTCTGGGACACTAGACACATGACAACTTAGTAAAGGGATGTTTGGCATTTGGGGTTTCTAACTCCTCAGAAACCTTGTACCAGGCGGCTATGAGGTGGAACTGATTTGAAGGTATTTAATGACAATTTATTTAAAAGCAAGCATGTTTTCATTTAAAATATGAAGTGGTGGTTTAATGTTTTTTTTATTTATCCCCCACTATGAAATGAGGAAAGGAGCTCTGGTAGCATAGTGGTTACGAATCCGCAAGGTCAGCAGTTCGAAACTACCAGCTGCTCCGTGGGAAAAAGATGAGGCTTTCTGCTCCCGTAAAGATTTACAGCCTCGGAAACCCTGTTCAGGGTCGCTATGGGTCGGAAATGACTCGACGGCACTTAACAACAACAACAACATGAAAGGAGAAAAGGAGCTCTGGTAGTGTAGTGGTTACGAATCGGACTGCAAACCTCAAGGTCAGCAGTTCGAAACTGCCAGTTGGTTGGCGGGAGAAAGATGAGGCATTCTGCTCCCGTAAAGATTTACAGCCTCGGAAAACCTGTACAGGATCACTGTGAGTCAGAACCGACAGCATGCACATAACCACTACCACCACCATGTAAGGAGAAGAATCTAATTAACCTCATATTGATCACAGAAACTTATGGTCTATTCAGATTCAGTATTGCTTATTGTGTGTGTGTGTGTGTGTGTGTGTGTGTGTGTGTGTGTGTGTACAACCCTGGATATTTGAGACCCAACCTGGCTAGATAAAGTGAGTTAACATGTAATCCTGACATGTCCTTTTCTTTCTTTATTATCAGAAACTGGTTGCTCAAATGAAGCAGGATCCACAGGTAATATACTGTTTTTATTTATTTAATGTATAAATTTAAGTAATTCAAAATTAAAAGATAAAATACTAAAATAATTGACTATACTTAAGGTTATAGAATGATCTCATTCATAGCAATAATTATTTTTAGCGGATAGATCTTCATGGTTTAAGGGTTTTGAGCAGTCATTCTTTTACAATATAGCTATCATTCATGTTTGTTACTGCTATTTTGCTTGTATGTTAATTGCTTTGAGTGAAAAAAAATTGAGAGTTCATACTCTTCTTATAGCTTAAATTTCATTTCCATAAATCCTACTTCTTCAAAACCAGAGTTTATCAAGTTTTCTGTAGTCTCAGAATTATTGAAAGTGTCCCAGAGCCATTCTTATTTACTCAGAATTTATAGTACAGAACATTTAAATATGGAACCCCACTGTGTTCAGAGTAAAAGTATAGAAGATTTTTAAAAACGCATTGTAGAAAATTTTATTTTTGAAACAACCCTTAAAAAGAGTTTAAAAAAAAGTATCTTATGTAACAACCCAGCACATGCTAACTTTTCTTTAAATTTTCCTAGGAGCTTTGACTTAGGTATTTTATTCTCTGTCTCTGAATAGAAATCTCACTAAAAGATTCTGTTGTTTTCAGGTGAATATTTACTGTTCAGGCAATATTTCTTTTGTAACCATGAGACACTGACTCCTAAGTATGAAAAGTACTTTCCAGACTCACTCAGATTGTTCCCTTCGATTTGTCTATTCATAAGTATGCTATTTTCAGAGCCCCTAGATTCATATAGATGGGTAATCGGAAATAAGTAAGTAAATGTATGTGTATGAATATGTATGTGAATGATGTCCCTTGTGACACCACAAATGGTAAAGCGCTCGGTAATAACTGAACGGTTGGCGGTTCAAACACACACACAGGTGCCACAAAAGGAAAGCCTGGCAGTCTGCTTCTGCGAGGTCACAGCCTTGAAACCCCTGTGAAGCACAGGCTAAACTGCACCACATGGGGTGACCATGACTTACAACTGACTCCATGGCTACTGGGTGTGCTGTGGAGTTGGTTTGACTCAGAGCCACCCTGTATAGCGTTTCCAAGGCTGTCCATCTTTACGGGAGCAGAAAGCCTCATCTTTCTCCCGCAGAACGGCTGATGATTTCCAGCTGCTGACCTTGAGGCTAGCAGCCTGACTCGTAACCAGTGTACTACCAGAGCTCCTTAGTTGCATGTACGTGCACCCCCTTCTTAAAAACATATGTTTCATTCTGAACTAAAGAAAGATAAGTTCTTGGATTAAAGAATGGGACTGAGACAGATTCTGTTTTGGAAGTAGGAAAGAATGTTTATCTCTACAAAATTAGTGCCTGGTGGCACAACTGTCGTCTGTAATATACTCCATTGACTCTGACTGGTCCCTGGCACATACTCTTGCTTGCCAGTCCAGCCTTCATGAGGGGCTTTGCCTATTTGATTTTTTAAAAATATATTACAATTATGTTGAATTCAGAAGACCAAGAGTTTAGGATTTAACAGATCCTTTCACTAAATATTATTATAACTAAAATATTCTGAGAAAATGCCAGCATTTCTGGTGCACTGGTGACAATGTGGCAATGTGACCTCATGAAGCTGAGCGGGTAGTATGTAGTTGGACATTCTTGTGGGTGATCTCATTTTTTTTCTGTTGTGTGCTGTCAATTCTCTTCCAACTCATAATGAGTCACAACAACCCTGCAGGACAAGAAGGGTCTGACCTTTCAAAACCAGATTGCCAGACTTTTGGGGGAAGCGGATTGTGACCACTCGTCTGTTGGTTTGTTGTATGGTGGTGGCTTGTGTTTTGCTGTGATACTTGAAGCTATGCTATAAGTATTTGAAATACCAGCAGGGTCACCCATGGTGGACAGGTTTCAGCTGAGCTCCCAGATTCAGACAGACCAGGAAGAAGGAGAGACAGACTGCTTCTGAACGTGTAGCCACTGCAAACCTTATGAATAGAAGTGGAACGCTGTCAAATAGCACCAGAATATTGAAAATTTAAACATGATGAATAGCACCAAAATATTGTCAGAGACAGTGCCAGAAGTGTCTCAGGTAGGAAGGAGCTCATAAAACAGCTGGGGAAGAGTTGCCTCCTCAAAGTAGTGTTGACCGTTATGAGACACGAGTGTAGTAAAGATTTCGGGACCTTTATTTACTGATGGGGCACAACCCAAAATGAGCAGAAGCAGCTGTAAATCCATTAATAATAATAATATGGAACGTTCTAAGGCTGAATCTAGGAAAATTGGCATTTGTCAAAAATGAAGAAGAATGCATAAAGATCAGTATATCCTTGGCATTAGTGAACTGAAAGGACAGGTATTGGGCATTTTGAATGTGACAGTCATATGGCTTACTATGCCAGGAATAGCAAATTGAAGAGGAATGGCATTGCAAGATCTGTCTTGAAGTATAATGCTGTCTGTGCTAAGCACTCGACTGCAAGTTCGGTTTGAAACTCAAGGTCAGTAGTTCCAACTCAACAGCCATTCCTTGGAAACCCTATACAGGAACCAACTTGATGGCACTTAACAACAACAACAACAACAACAAATCGAAGACCATTGTTACTCAAGTTTATATGGTGGTGGTGGTGGTGATGTGTTGTGAAGTCGGTTCCGACTCATAGTGTGACCCTGTACACGGTTTCCGAGGCTATAAATCTTTATGGGAGCAGAAAGCCTCATCTTTCTCCCACGGAACAGCTGGTAGTTTTGAACTGCTAACCCTGAAATTAGTAGCCCAATTCGTAACCACTACACTACCAGAGCTCCTTCAAATTTATATACCAACCACTAAAGTCAGTAATGAAATTGAAGAATTCTATCAACTTCTTCAGTGTGAAATTAATCAAACATACACTCAAGCTATATTGATAGTTACTGGCAATTGTAATGCAAAGGTTGGAAACAAAGAGGAAAGATCCGTGGTTTTAAAATACGGCTTTGGTGATAGAAATCATGCTGGAGATCGCATGATAGAATTTTGCAAAACCAATGACTTGTTCATTGCAAATGCCTTTTTTAAACAACAAAAAAGATAACTATACATATGGCCCTCACCACATGGAATACATACATAGATATCAAATTGACTATATCAATAGGAAGAGACAGTGGAAAAGCTCCCTAGTATCAGCCCAAACAAGGTCAGATGCAGACTATGGAACTGACATTAATTGCTCATATGCAAGTTTAGACTGAAGCTGAAAAAAATTAAAACAAGTCCACGATAGCCAAAATATGATCTTGTTTATATCCCACCTGATTTTAGAGATATCTCAAGAACAGATTTGATGCATTAGATACTAATGACCAAAGACCAGAGAGTTATGGATGACATCAAGAACATCATATAGGAAGAGAGCAAAAAGTAATTAAGACAAGAAAGAAGGAAAAAAAAAAAAAAAAAGGATGTCAGAATGAATTCTGAAACTTGCTCTCCAGCATAGAAATGCTAAAACAAAAGGAAGAAATGAAGAAGTAAGGAGTTGAACATAAATTTCAAATAAAGTCAAGTATTATAATGACATATGCAAAAACCTAGAGTTAGAAAACCAGAAGGGAAGAACACACTCAGCATTTCTCAAGCTGAGGGAACTGAAAAAAAAAAAAAATCAAGCCTCAACTTGAAATATTGAAGGATTCTACGGGCAAAAATATTGAATGATGCAGAAAGTTTCTAAAGAAGATGGAAGAAATATACCGTTAACTGTACTAAAATGAAAATGTCAAAATTAAAATATTTCAAGAGATAGCATATGATCAAGAGCCATTGGTACTGAAGCAAGAAGTTCAAGGTACACTGAAGGCATTGGCAAAAAACAAACCTCCAGGAATTGGTGGAATACAAATAGAAATCTTTTAAAAAACTGATGCAGCACTGGAGGCACTCACTCATCTTACCAAGAAATTTGGAAGACAGCTACCTGGCTAGCTGATTGAAGAGATTCGTATTTATGCTCATTCCAGAGAGGTGACCCATTATAATGTGAAAATCATTAGACAATATCATTAATAACACAAGCAAGCAAAATTTTGCTCAAGATAATTCAGAAACTGACAAGAAACTGCCAGAGGTTCAAGCCAGGTTCTGATGAGGATGTGGAACAAGGGATAATCATTGCTCATGTCACATGGATCTTGATTGAAAGCAGAGAGTATCAGAAACATGTTTACTTATGATTTATTGACTGTGCAATGACTTTCAGTTATGTAGATCATGATAAGCTATGGACATCATTGCAGAGACTGGGTATTCCAGAACATTTAATTGTGCTCATGAGAAATCTTGTTAGCACGGAACAAGGGGACACTGAATGGTTTAAAATGGGGAATGGTTGTGCCAGGGTTGTATTCTTTCACCATACTTATTCAACCCGTGTGCTGAACAAATAATATGAGAGGCTGGATTATATGAAGAAGAACGTGACATCAGGGTTGAAGGAAGACTAACAACCTGTGATATGTAGATGATACAATCTTGCTTTCTGAAAGCTAAGTAGATTTAAAATACTTACTGATGAAGATCAAAGACCACAGTCTTCAGTATGGATTACACCTCAAAGTAAGGAAAACAAAAATCCTCACCACTGGACCAATAAATACCATCATGATAAATGGAGAAGAGATTGAAGTTGTCAAAGACTTCGTTTTGCTTGGATCCACTATCCACACTTTTGGAAGTGGCTGTCAAGAAATCAAATGATGTATTGCAATGGGCAAATCTGCACAAGATAGCTTTAAAGTCTTCAAGAGCAAAGATGTCAACTTGAGGACTAAGATGGGTCTAACCCAAGCCATGGTGTTTTCAGTAGCTTCATCTGCATGAGAAAGTGGGACAGTGAATAGGGAAGACCAGAGAAGAATTTGTGCATTTGAATTATGGCGTTAGAGATGAATATTAATAGTACCATGGGCTGCCAGAAGAAAAACAAATTGGTATTTGGAGAAATACAGCCAGAATGCTCCTTAGAAGCCAGGATGGCGAGACTTCATCGCTCATACTTCAGACACATTGTCAGGAGGGACCAGTACCTGGAGAAGGACATCATGCTTGCTAAGGTTTAGGGCTGGCGAAAAAGAAGAAGACCCCCAACAAGATGGATTCACACAGTGGCAGTAGCAGTGAGTTCAAAGGTAAAAGTGATTGTGAGGAGGTCACAAGACCAGGCAGTGTTTTGTTCTGTTGTGCATCAGGTCGGTTTTGTAACTGACTCAATAGCACCTAATAACAACAAAACCAGGACAGAGCAGAACTGCTCCCCAGGGTTACTGAGGCTGTCATATTTCTGGAGAATCTCACCAGGTCCTTTTGTCCACAGAACCTTTTGGTTGGTTTGAATTACTAACCTTTTGGTTAACAGTTGAGTACTTAGGCACAGCACTACCAAAGCTCTTTGGTGATCTCCTTCCAGAGGCCTTTTATTGAATACAGGACTGGTGTGGCCCTGTAGGATAAGCACTGGGCTGCTAACCAGAAAGTCGGCAGTTGAAACCCGTCAGCTGCTCCTCAGAAACCCTATATAGGTGTTGTTCTGAGTCGGAATCGACTGGACAGCATTTAGCAACAACAACAACGTATCAAATACATCTATAAAAAGGACCAAATGGAGACCCTGGGCCCCAGGAAACATGAAATTCAATCTAGGGGAGGAAATGTTTCTCATCCTAGCAGAAGCCCAGGCAGGGAGATGTGAAAGAATTTTATGTGGGGTGATCAAGTGAAAGTAATCGCTCAGGCTAAGAGGTTGCCCTGATACATCAAGCATTTGAAATTTTTAATTTTGGATTTTTTTCTCCACTTGAATAAAAGGCAAACATGCTCAGTGTATCTCCTCTAGAATAGTATTCTTTTTTTGATTCCTCGAATTTGAGAACTGAGGAAATGTCCTGGTCGGCAGTGTGCTAATGTGAGTGATGTGGTGTTAAGGCACTTACAGCACTGACAGCTTTTCAAATCTAGGCTAAAATAACAAATGTACTCTACTCTACTAAATCAGGGAGAGGCCAAGTGCAGAAAAACCTCCTATCTCGGTCGTTAATGCCGATAAGCACGCAGCATGTGCATACTTAAAAAGCTCCATTTTCCTGCTTTTGTCTGATTAGTGTTGCTTTAGGTTTTCTGTCAACTGATACTTTCTGTAAAGACTAACAATATTGTGGTGGTGGTGGTGTGCCGTGGAGTTGATTCCAACTCATAGCGACCCTGCATAAGGTTAATATTGTGGTGGTGGTGGTGTGCCGTGGAGTTGATTCCAACTCATAGCGACCCTGCATAAGGTTAATATTGTGGTAGAAAGGTATTAATTACAATACAAAAAGCTAAAAATATAAAACTTAATAAATGACAATCTGTCTCTATTCTGGTAGTAGTGATGGTGTGCATTGTGAGTCAGCTCCAATCATAGCAATCCTTTAGGACAGAGGAGGAATCCTGGGGTGGCGTGGTAGGATAAGCAGTGGACTGCTTAACCACAAGGTAGGCAGTTCAAACCCACCAGCTGCTTCTTGGAAACCCTGTACAGGGTTGCTATGAGTCAGAACTAACTTTGATGGCATTTAATAACAACAACAACTGAACAAACTTACTCGGTTTCCTAGGCTGAAGTCTTTGCTGTAACGGATCACCAGGTCTTTTTTATACCAGCCACTGGGTGTATTTGAACCAAGACCTTTTGGTTAGCAACTGAGCGCTTAATCATTGTGCCACCAGGGCTCCTTATTCTATTGCTGGGGCGGCGGTGGTGGTGTGCCGTGGAGTTGGTTCCAACTCATAGCAAACCTATGTAGGGTTTCCGAGGCTATAAATCTTTATGGGAGCAGAAGTCTCATCTTTCTCCTATGGAATGGCTGGTAGTTTTGAATGGCAGACCTTGAGGTTAGCAGCCCAGCATGTGACCACTGTGCTACCAGAGCTCCTTTATTCTAGTACTAGGAGTCTGCATTTAAGATGTTTACATTAGGTAGCTATATGGTTTAATGCACAACAGATTTGATTGGCCAAATGCTCAAGGTCGCTTCATCACTTGTAATACAGTATGCATAAAGTCTTCGTTGCTACTATTCTGTTAACAAATGAAATATCTTTCTCACAGATATTTTTTCTTTCCAATCAGAATGCTGATTTAAAGAAACAGCTTCATGAACTCCAAGCCAAAATCACAGCTTTGAGTGAGAAACAGGTAGGGGCAAGTAGGGGGCGGGGCGCATATTTTTAACATTGTGTTCTAAAGATATGTCTGCTTCAGGCTTCTAAGAGAACTGCTATTTTTCCTCATGTGTGAAAATAAGTGTGGGCAGCCAGACTCAGTTTTAATTTTGTTTGAGCTCTGTTTATCTATTTTTATTTTTGGTTGAAATCAGTCTCTAGAGTATCCCATGGGTATATGCTACTGGCAGATATCTAAAAGCAATGTGGCAGTCTGCCATTAATTGTGTTAATTAGACTCTAGTTTACCCATAGGGGAAAGGGTAAAGAAAGTTAGTGGGAGTATGTAACTGAGATTCTTATAGCTTCTGTAAGTGCCTTGGTACCTGTTTTAAAAGCCCGAGATGACGTTCACCTTACTTTGACAAGAATGATTGTAAGTAAATGCTCCATTCTGAGTACAGTTGCACCTTTACGCTGATCTTTATTAGATACCGAACTATAATTATATGAAAACAACATTCATAAAACCTTGTTAGATTCACTCTATACAGGGCAAGAAATGAGTATCTTGTTTTTTTTCAAGGACCTCTAGAAAGTATTCTATGAAATTTCCTGTGTATTGGCTAATTCAGGCATCTCCTGCCACCAGGTGGAGTGTGGCAATTGGGAGAGCTATAAGTAAATGTCTGTGGTAATATGAATGAAGCATTTGTTTTTCTTGTTCCTTCCCCCATCACTCTCTATCAGATAATCTTGGAGTAGACAAATGTATGAACCAAAAGGATAAAGTGATTTGCAGTTGATAGTTCATGCTAGTGACATCCCATTGACGATCTTTTGACTACGAATTTCTAGATCTTTAAATTGTTTTTCAAACTTTATTTACTGAACTAATAATAACAGTGAGAGCAGTTTATTCCTAGATATATTTAAAATTTGTTCGTGTTATGTGTTGTATTGTTTTCATGTAACTAAGTGAAGAAGTAAACTTTGATAACTATGAGTAGAATAAATACATGTTGTTTTCAAAGAGAATCTTTTTTTTTAAGTTGGGGCACAATTGCCCTCCCTCCCCCTTATTCTTATACCTCTATGCTTCTTTATCTTGTCTTCTCCACATACTGGAGGTATTTTAGATTAGCAACTTGCTAAACTAAGATTAGGAGTGAGTGAGATGATGGAGAACAATTTGTAAGGAAAAATATAAACAGTTTGTTCGTAAGTATTGGCTCTGAAAGTAATTGCCTTCTCTAAAGTCAGAATGATGTGTGTTAGAGAAAGTGTTCTAGCTTTAGAATCCTGTTAGTGCAGAGCCTTCTTACAGTTTCAGGGTTAGTTTGACAAGATGCCAATGAATGAGTCACTTTTGCTGAAAAATTCACGTGTTCCAGTGGGGAAAGAAGGTGAGAACCGACTAGTGGAGTGGGGGCTGGGGAATTTGTCTCAAAGTTAACACAACCAAAGGCTGCATTGGGGGAAACAGAGTAACTTGGTGGTGGTGGTGATAGTGGTTGGGGGTGGTGAGGATTTTTCTAATAAGATTTTTGTTAGTGAGAATGAATATAAAGATTTTGTTTTTTTCTGTTGCTTTTTATTCTTCGATTTTTTTCCTGCTGACGGCCTCAATAGAAAATGGTACTCATTTATGTTCAGTAAGATGTCATCAAGAAGGAAACTCTAGTTGTCATCTGAACTAAGTTAGATGGTGGAATTTTAAAAATGTGTTTAGTATCAGGAAGAAACACTAAGGTGTATGAAGTGAAGAAAATTAGACTCAGAAGATGAAATATAATCTTTCAGTTTTTATAATATTTGCTTGACTGTTAAAACAGCCTTTTTGTTGGAACAGAAAATACATCATTTTTAGGTAGGGGATAGTACCAGAAGGAAGCACAGATAAAAAATTCAAAAGATGTTTCTTCTTTAGACTTAACTTCCAGTATGAAACATTACTATTCAGTTTTCAATAGTTTTATTTCAAGACAACATAATACTGCATGGCCCAACTTTTATATTTCCTAAAAATTCAATACCTGGCAAACACTTTGATTTTCTTCCTACTTTAATAGTTAAAATTTGTATTCTCTCACTCACATGACTAATTTTTAAATTTAGTATTAAGTTTTTGTTGTGAGAAAATTTTTGAAATACAGGAAAGTTTAGAGAATAATGTTATGTTCTAGAATTAATAACTCAACATTTTTGTTTCCGTTCTTTTTTAATATGCATTTTTTCTAGAATCATTTTTTTCTATACCCATGTGAAAATTAATTATACAAGTAAAAGATAGACACTATCTCTTGTTTTTTTTTAAATAAAAAATCACAGGCAGGCACTTAACTCTTACAGTAGGTACTACTTTATATTTGTTATTGCTACCTCAATTCTTGATACTTACTTAACTTGTCTTCCTCAAGATTGTGAAATGGTGGAAAATATGATCTTCAGCAAACTTATTTCGTGGCTAAAGCTCAGTGTATTTCATTGAATTCTTGGTTGGAAGGTTCTAATGCTTTCAAACTGTGGTTAAAGATTTCTGAATAGAAACTCTCCAGGCAGGTTTTGAAGTTAGCTTCCTGACCTCTACTGGGTTTTAATATGTGGTTGACAGTTTTAGCTTAGAAATCCCTGGGTTTGATTGGCAAAATACAGTATTTGTTAGGCAGGCATTAAAAATCATGTGTTCAGAAGCTGTTAATGACATAGGAATATGCTCATGATAAAATAAGTGAAAAAACACATACAACTTTATATGCATTGTAATCCCATTTTTGCAAGTGCTTTGTGCATGTGAATGTGTGTGCAAGCCATGTCAGTGTAACATGTTGACAGGTGGTGGGTTTGGTGATTTAGTCTTTCTTTATACTTGTATATATTTTTTCTACCCTGAACATGTATACATAATTTTTTGTATATATAAATTGTATATATAAATTCTCTACCCTGAACATGTTTATTGTTTTAATAAGACACATCGCTTAAATTTTATGGACACTTAACTTTTGTCTGTTCCAGGGATAGTTGATATTTAAAATCTAAAGACATTCTTCTCATGATATATGAACCATTCTATTGAAAGACTACAACTGTTTGTACCATTAATGATGTCCTGGTGTGGTGCTGCAGGATAATGTGCTGGACTGAAGGTTGATTTGAACCGCAAGGTCAGCAGTTCAAACTTAGCAGCCACTCCTCGGAAACCCTATACAGGGCCACTATGGGTTGGACCCGACTTGATGGCATTTAACAACAACAAGTTGAAGTGTAGCAGCAGCTCTTAATTTATTAAACAAGGATTTTTTCTCATGCTACATCTCCTCCACCCCTCTCCTCCATTTTTGTTATGCATATGTCATCTTTTGCTTGTCAGAGTTGAGATTCTGATTTTGGAGCAAATGCACTTAGTTGCTTTAGGGTGGCTTCCATTGTATAATTCACTGTAGAGCAATCTTAATATCCCAGAGTCTGTTGCTTGTCTCTGTAGTGATTCAGACTTAAGCCGTAGTAGTTCAGGCTGCTTACTTAGAGTTAATAATGACATCCTGCTTAGAAGTAAGTGTGTGTGTATAATTAAAGAGTTCTAGTATTGGCAAAAGCAAAAACAAGTAAGACTTTATTTAGGCTTATATTTTAAAAAGGAAAATTGGTTTCACTGTTGCAGAGTTACATTGTATCTCATAGCCTGTGTTATGAAGTCCTGGTGTGGCACTGAAGGATAAGCACTGGACTGTTCACACCCACCACCCACTCCTCAGAAACCCTATAAGGGTCACTGTGAGTCAGAACGGATTTGATGGTACTTAACAACAAGAAGCCTGTGTTATAGTAGTTTGAGACAAGTTGTTGTTGTTAGGTGCCATCTAATTGGTCTCGAATCAAAGCGACTCTATGTACTGCCCAGTCCTATGCCATCTTCACCATTGTCCTTATGTTTGCATCCATTATTGATGCCACTTTATCAGTCCATCTTATTGGGGATTCTTCCTCTCTTTCACTGACGCACCTCTGAATAAGTATGGTGAAAGGATATAACCCTGGCTGGCACATACCTTCCCTGGTTTTAAACCACTCAGTATCCCCTTGTTCTATTCTAATGTCTGTTTCTTGGTCTATGTACAGATTCCTCATGAGCACAATGAGGTGTTCTGGAATAACCGTTCTTCACAGTATTATCCATAATTTGTTAAGATCCACAAAGTCAAATGCTTTTGCATAGTCAATAAAGCACAAGTAAGCATCTTTCTGGTATTCTCTGCTTTCAGCCAAGATACATTTGATTCGAACAATGAGATCCCGAGTTCCACATGTTCTTCTAAGTCTGGCTTGAGTTTCAAACATCCCTGTTTGATGTACTGTTACTGCAGTGGTATTTGAATTATCTTCAACAAAAGATGTGATTTTTTTTTTTTTGCTTGCTTGCATGTGATATTAATGATTATAATTGATGATTTCTGCATTCTGTTTAGTCACCTCTTTGGAATGAGCACAAATGTGGATCTCTTCCAATTGGTCAACCAGGTAGCTGTCTGCCAAATTTGTTGGAATAGACAAGTGAGCACCTTCAGTGTTCCATCAGTTTGTTGAAACATTTCGATTTGTATTGTGTTGATTCCTGGAGCCCTGTTTTTGCCAATACCTTCAGTGCAGTTTGGACTTCTTCGGAACCATTAGTTCTTGATCATATGTTACCCCTTGAAATGCTTGAACGTCAACTAAAAATTTTTGGTATTGTGACACTATGTGTTTCTTCCTTTTTCTTTTGATGCTTCCTGAGCCATTCAGTGTTTTGCCTACTTATAGTGACCCCGTATAGGGTTTGCAAGAGCAGAAAGCCTCGTTTTTCTCCCACAGAGCGGCTAGTAGGCTGGAGCCTTTGACCTTCAGGTTCTCGGTCCAGTGCTTACCATACAGAGCCACCGTGCTCCTACTTTGCCCATGGAATCCTTCAATATTGCAACCCAAGGCTTGAGTTTTTCCTCAAGAGGCTTTCCTTCTCTTCAGGTTTTCTAATGCCAGGTTTTGTACATTTCA